AGATGAACTCGTCGCACTATCTGTTAAAAGTGTAGATCCAATATCGATAAATTAGTTAAGAAATTTTGCATGCATGTATCTATAACGAGATGGGGATCCACTGTATTGCCAATTAATATAGGTGAAATTCAACTACGTCAAATATTTAAAGAGGCAGACCACTGATCCACTTTTAACCATACTTATATTGTCTTAACTTATCCATCTATTGTTAGGTGTTGGATTTTATCACAAAATCTTATGGTGTTATTAGAAATAGAATCATACACTTATAATTTCACAATCTTAAACTTATATTCAAAACGCCACCTCATGTAGGACCACCACATAGTGGGCCACATGTGCAACCAATCCCACGTCAGACATTAGCGCATAAACATAGTGTTACATTAATAATTAACTCGGCCACAACACGGACAATGTTATATTAAACTTGGTAACTAGGGCATGTCACGAACCCACATGACCTACAATCAAACCCTCTTTGATACCATGCAAGATAGAGAGACAGGTCACTGACCCACTCCTGACCACACTAATATTGTTCTAACTTAACCAATTATTACTAGGTGTTGAATTTTATGACAAAAAGCATTGATGTTGTTAGAAGTGAAACCATACATTTATATGTTATGTTATTTTCTTAGTTTCCCAATACACTTATATGTTATATTATTTTCTTAGTTTCCCAATATGAGACTTATATTTAGCAAACTCTTTTAATCACCCTACTCCCAATTAATTTAACTGGAACTTCAATTTTTTTTAATCGTATCCAGATCTGGGGCACGAATATGGACATTATATGGTTCAATTTTAAGATGCCCAAATGACGTTTTCTTGCAAGGGTAATGCTAGAAAAATTAAATTTGTAGACTAAATTTACATACTAAATGATGTGTCACCAATAGAAATGAGCGCATTTATTAATGCTTAAGTAATAAATCAATCATAACCTTCCATGTCCTTTAGTTTTCAAAATTTATTCTCTAAATTTAGTCTCCCTAGCATTACCCTTTTCTTGCAAACTAAATTCCCTATACATACAGTATCAAACTGAAAGTTAATCTTAACTAAAACAAATATGATCTTTTCATCAATTAATAAAAAAAAGCTTTGCAGGTATAAAATAAAATATGTAATATGTACGCTTAAAATTAAAAGATAAAACAATAGGTACTTAAAGGAAATTTGAATGGAAGTTAACAAAGGTGATGCTTTAGCATTACAACAAAGTCTGAGTGGTAATGTACATATTTGGGTGCAGGGAGAGGGAACCAGATTTCTAATTGAATGTTAAAGATCTAGATCATGTATACAAGCTTGGTAATTAATGAACACATGCCTTAAAAGGCAGAGACTGAGTAATCGTTATACGATCAACCGGAATATCTAATTGCAAGCTTAACATAAATAAAATGAAAGACAATATTTTATTCATTATTCTTAAGAATTTGTACATTAATAATAAAAGAAATAGTCAACAATTAACTGGCCAAGCTAGCACATCAAAAGGTGATAACTAGCTAGCCCTTATTATCCTTGCACACATACATAAATTCATATAGCCTTATTTTATCTTCGCAATGTCGACCGAATATAAGTTCATTATCTGCTGATCAGTAATTAATCTTCGATCACGCATAACTGCACATGCCATACGCACATGAACTGCCTTTCTTGCACCTATTGTTGCAGCCGCCACAGTTTTTCCTGTCAGACCTTGGATTCACACACTTACCCTTGCAGCATATCTCTGCGTACTTGCGCATTTGTTCCCACACTTGCCACAGTTTACTCTGTCTGTGTTCGTGTTTACACATTTCTTCTTGCAGCAATCTGGGCCTCCGCTGCCCGAGACCCGACAAACCCTAGGTTGTTTGTCGCATGTCATCACTGCCGCCCGAGAAGCAAGGAAGCGGCTTGTTCCCCTCAGAGAAGTGCTTTTTTCTAATTGGCTTTTGGTTTCATCATTTGGATCATTGTTTTCCTCTTCGAAGAATGATTCTTCAAGGCCTGGGATTGCAGATAGAGTACTAATGGTTAAAGTCAGTAGCATGGCAAGAACAAGCAAAACCTTGAAGGCTTTCATGATGTAAGTTTAATTTGTTGGCGAAGCGGAGAGATTTCAAAATGGAAAAGTTGATGAAGGAACGTATATGATGTTTTTTTAGATGGATAAGCATATGGGCTTGTAGAAGTATTTATAGAGAAAAATTGATCAGTGGGGGCTAGTTGATAGAGGTCAACGAGTTCGATATCATTTGAAAACCAGGGTTGCATGTATTAGTTAAGTTGTATAATTTGAGAGTATTCATGATGTCCTTAATGCGTTGGTCTAATTCAAAGGGCTACAAACAAAACGTTTTAAGTAAACAAAGTTAGGCTTCCAAAGAAACATTATACTCGAAATTAGGTCAGTATGAACTTATTCATGAACGAAGAAAGGAAACTAAGTCGCTGAGTTTGCTCATAGGCTGACGGTTAATTCATCACACTCATGATGAATCATTAGATTTTTAATTTGCTTGGGTTAATTCATCAGACTCATGCATGCATTGATGCATGTATATATGTTGGCAATTACATGCGAGCTCAAGCGCCCGCCTTATGGTTTCTCAAGGGTCCAAGAAACCAAAATTAGTCCAATCTCCAAACGAGGAAACCGTTACAGAAGCACTTCCACTTGTGGAGCCTTATATATTGACTTTTTTTATTTTTTATTTTATTCTGTTGATACTTCTGGAATCATATAAGCAATGGGTAATGTTAAGGAGATCATATATTTATATTATATCTTATAAATCATATGACATAGTTGTTAATGGTTAAATCATTTCTTAACTCTGGATTTTTTTTTCGTAGTAACTATTTCTTGTATATAGCAAGTAGTAACCAATTGTAATTAGTATAAGATTCAATAAAAAAAATTGTTATAGACTATATATATATATATATATGTTGTACTATTATGCATCGATCAAAATAAGAAGTCACCAACCAATTCATTTCCATAGATTTGGCTCTCACAAAAAATATAAGTATATGCAAATTTCTAATGACTATATATACACGTGTGTGTGTCTTCATTATATGATAGGGCAATGTTTACTTTGTTTTGTGCAGTTGTCCTTAATTATTTTCCTAAAATTACAATATATGTAACTTGCAAAAATTTGCTCCTTTAATACACTTTTAGAGTTATGCCTACATGTGATTAATTTGAACTAAATCTTACAAGATAAAATTCCAAACTACTATGGGTCAGTGTTTTCTAAATCTCAAAGGATCGAGGACTAGCAAATGATGAAACGAATCGTGTCAAATTAATTTGTTTGGCGTTAATTCAGAACAGTACTAGTAAAACACAATTCCCAATCTAGATATATGAAAGATTGGTCATGGACCAGGACTAGTATGCGTGGGACAGTGAAAATTACATGGACACACATCAGAATTTTGGCAGAAAAATGCATGGATAATTGGTAATGGTCTTAGAATAATATAATTCTTCAAGTTCATTGCATTTTTTATCAACTATTTAATGGGTAAAAATTTCAGAGAATACCCTTCTTAATCGTTAGATTTGATTTGGGATATTTTGGATGCGGTCCCTAATCCTTAACATTCTTTGATTAAAACCTTAATATTATTCAAAGTTTGATCAAGGTCCCTTGACTTTGTACACCTCATTATATTACTATTAATATTTATATTTTTATAGTTTTGACATTAATTATTTGATATTTTATGAGATTTATAATCCTATAAATTTAAAATCCCTCATTATAATACTATTAGAAACGGTTACAATAAAAAAATTCAAACATTTTGATTGAATAAATGGATAAAAAATATGTAAAAATAAGAAATAATAAATGGCAAAAGAATGTATCCATAGTGTTAAAAAAATTGGTACATTTTACAAAAAAATTGGTACATTTCACATATAACAAAGTGGTACATTAATAAAGAAGAATGGGTACATTAGAAATAAATTAGGGTACAAATAAAAGATTAAAATTTATGAATACAAATGAATTTTTAAAAATATAGTCGCTAAAAGAAATTAGTACATGGGTACAAAATAAAATAAAAAGAAAATACTACAAATTTAAAAAAAAAATGTTGCAAATTAAAAGTGGGTACAAACTAAAAATATAAATATATGATACAAAGTTTAGGCATAAAACATAAATATACCATATGTAATTTTTCTATTATTGATTAAATATACAATGTCACATGACAGTATACACATGGGTACAAACACAAATAAAACTTTAAAAAATATGGGCACAAAAAGGAACTAATATATGGGTACAAATTAAAAATGAAAAGAAAATTGGTACAAATTAAAAAATATTTGCAAATTAAAAATAGGTACAAACTAAAAATAAAATTATGATGAAAAAATTTAGCCATAAATATAAATATACTAATTGTAACATTTTTAACATTAAAGGAATATATTTAAAAATAAAAATATTTTATTATTCAAATAATTAATGATGTTATTAATACCCAAGGACCTTGATCAAAAATTGAAAATGAATATGATTTTAATCAATGGAGTAACAAAAAGAAGGATGTGAACCTAATTTTCCCATTTGATTTTAATGAAATTTTGTGGTTGAGATTCTGTGACCTGTGATTTAATGTCAACCACAAAATTTCATTAAAGCCAAATCTAACGGTTAACAAGGTGTTCCCATTTAAAAAAAAAAAGAAAATTAATGAAAAGTGCTTGAAAACTTTAAGTTTTAATGATAAGGACAAAATAAAGGGTAAAGTGAATAGTACCAGGATTGACTTTTTAGTGTAAAAATGTGGTTTTTCGTTAAAGTGAACATTACCAGATGCTTTTCGTTAAAATTCCCAAAAAAAAAATATGGATCCCTCCCCTTAAAGGGTCTGTGTATATTGGTTACATAAGATTGTTATGTAAGCTGTCATAATGTGACAGGATAAATGTATAGCAGTAGTATACTGTGAACTAATCATGCATAATGGCACATCCCATAAACACAGAAGTCTCCCTTCTTGCACTTTTGATTGCACCCACCACAATGCCTCTTGTCAAACGATGCATTGACGCACTTACCCCTGCAACAAATCTCAGTATACTTGCATCTGTAGCCGCAAATCCCACAGTTGTACCGATCAGTCTTCACGTCAACACATTTCTTCTTGCAGCAGTCTGGCCCCAGGCTGTTCTTCGCACGACAAATCCTAGGAAGGTTGTCGCAAGTATAACTGGGCAGTGGGATATTTTTATGATGATTATAAAGAAAACGGCTCACTCCTCTTAAAGAAGTAGTTGCTTCTGCTTCATCTGGTGTTTCAGGCAATGTAGTTGCTTCTGCTACAGTACTAGTCTGCATTTCCACGTCTTCGATATGATCGTCCTGGAAATTTGCAGCTCCAACAATGGCCATTGCTGCTAGGAGAGTAAAGGAGATGTTAATCAACTTCATGGCCATGACTAAATATTATCTGAAAGTTATGAAATATTTGTAAGGAAAGATGTTTTTGAAGAAGAAGAGTGTAGACTTATTGTAGGGTGTCAATTGAGCGTGTGGGTTTTATAGAAACATAGGGAAAAGGATCCTGATCTCATGATCTTAACTGTTTATTATATATCATACTGTCAGTTTTCGTTAGGTACTATTTATATACATAATTTTAAATTTTAAATTTTAAAATAATTTTTTACTGTATAATATACGATGAACGGCCACGATCACGGAATTCTTTTAAGATTTCCGAAAAAATGATGCTCGAGGATCCTTTTCCGAAACATAGGGCGGAGAGAGTTGACAATTCGAAACTGCATGTACAAGTCTTGCTTTATTTGTGTGGCTTAAAATTACTAAATATCTTATATGTACAGAAATCATTTGATTGACAAGAAAGAAAAGTTGTCCTCCCTGTGATTCTGATTCTGTATCTGTATCCCATCATAAATTTTAAGATACAGAAGTTCAAATAAAGAAAAATGCAAAAATTATCCTTTTCCTCACTTTCACAGCTATGATAAATTTATGTAATATTTAATTTCACCCCATAATGAAACTTAAGAGCAACTCCAGTCTAAATTTTTAGGCTGGTTCAAATCCTAATAAATGGGCTGGCACTATGGTATAAAATATCGATGATATCGAAAATATTGGTAATCCAAAAATATGAAAATATCGGGATATTATCGATATCGATAAAAATTGAATAAAAATCACGGAAATTGTAAGAAAAACTTGAAAGTTTTTATTGAAACTTTGGATAATGTTTATTTAGTCAATTATCTATTATAGTTTATCAAAAAAATTAGAAGGAAATGCATTACATGATGGATTTAACTGATTTAAGTTGATTATACAGCGAGGTGGCAAACACTGTGAGTGTAGAAAATATGTAGTAATTAATGAAAAAAATATTAAACACACCATAATCATTTATATATAATGATTTACTAAAATATTTTACACTTTATACATTGCATGGTAAGATACATGAGTGGTTTAGTACCACATAAAGTTCCTATGAGGTTCAAAATTTTCACTATCTTCATCATCTCTATGTGTAGAGTAAGTTTATTGTGAGTATTCATCAAATGATAAATCCCCAAAATAGTTTTGCATGTAATTGTTAACATGTCACTCATATAAATATATAAATATTTTAGCATATTATCACTAAAACATAAGTGATATATGGTGGTTACGGTGTTGGAGGAGTAAAATGGGAGGGGTTCAAATCCCCTTTGTGTTTTTTTTTTCTTCCTTTTTTCCCTTTTTTTTTTCCTTCCTTTACATCGATATTTTCGATATATTAGCGATATTTTGACAAAATATTGCTGAAGTGTGAGCGAAATTATCGACATCGATATTTTCCGATATTATCGTCAATATTGTCGATATTAGTACGATATGTACATGGATATGTTCCGAAATATCCGTGATTCGAAAAAACCGAAATATCCTCGATATTATCGATATTTCATACTATGGTTGGCACCACGTAAAATCCTTCCAGTCGAGCAAAATAGGCTAGCCCACAACCCAAACCAGCATGTAGGCCGTCCCAAAATGTGCATTGAGTGATGTATTGGCCTATGTGACGTCATGCTGGTGTCAGCATGACGTCAGCGAAGGCAACAAATTTTTTTTTTTTGCGTCAGGAGTGGCTGCGCATCCCATATAGAAAATAGACATAGCGGCCTGCCGCCTCAGGCGCACTAAAGGGCCGCGGGGATGGGCCACGTGGCGTGTCTTCGACCGTTGGATTTCCAACAACTAGTTTTTTGAACCATTGGACTTTCAACGATCAAAAAATTTTGAAATTCAAACCCAACATTTAGATGTGGCAATATCTATGCCGTTCGATTCCTATATCAATGGTCCACGATTTTCGACCAAAAAACATTAAAAAAAGAAAGGAAAATGTCAGAATTATTACCGTTGGCCACGTGTTGGGTTGTTGGATTTCAATCTTTTTCACATCCAATGGTCCAGATTAATTAATAAAAATTATCAAATGTTGTTTAAAAATACAGAAAAAATTAAAAAAAAATTATTATTATTATTTTCTATAAATACCTAACCATCATCTTCCACCTTACACTACATTTCAATATTTTCAACGCTTTGAACCAAAGCTTTCATATACTTTTGTGTGCAAAAAATGGCAATTTGGACGGTCATCAAAGATGTTATGTTATGTGAATGCTGGGTTTAAATTATTCACTACTAGAAAATATTATTTTGCCGACAAATTTTAGGCCGACAAAGCAAAAATTTTGTCTGCACGAGAGTTCTTTCCCGACGAAAATTTTAATTTATTGGCTCATAGTAGTTGAACCTGTGCCGACTATAAATTTGTCGGCACAAAATATTTGTACTGACGAATAAAATGACAGTCTCAAAAGCATGCTATATTGTGGATAGACTACCCCTTTCCCTTCTCTCCTTCGTAACGCTCTCCTCTCCAACGATCTCGCTCCATCTGCTCGTCGTCCCTCTGTATGCTCGTCATTGCCGTCGATTCACCCGCTCACGTCACCATCGATTCGTCTGCTCGCATCACCGTCACTCCATCTACTCTTCATCACCGTCAAAGTGCCCGTCCATTCTAGCTCTGAAATCTCCAATGCAGAGTGTTTCTTTGCATTTTGTTCTCTAAAACCTTGGGTATGTTCTCAATCTCTATCTACCCTATCTTTCCCCTTAGTTTTTTGTTTAGTCTCTACTTTATGGTGCTTTTCTTAGTTTTGTTTGACCACTGTAATTTTGAGGGATTTTAGGTAATGAATTTGGTTGAGAATCTCATTTAGGTTTGTAGTATCTTCCGGGTTACCTGGGTTTGAGGATGATTAATCCACTTTCTAATTTTTTTTTTTAACTTTTAACTTTGATTTCTGGGAAACTGCAATCAAAATGCAGTTATGGTTATATATTTAGAATCGATTATGAGTGTTTGCACAGACATTATTGTAAGAAGAGTTCATCTTCTCCTGATTTACTTTCGTTTTGAAACGTTACTTTATGGTGCCTACATAACTTATTTTTGGATTGTTGGAATAACATTTCAACTTGGTAAATGTTGCAATTCTGCATGTGTAGCTACTTTTGCTTCATTAATCAATAGTTGGTAATTATTACACTTGTGGTTAACTTCTGTAATTTCCACTTTCCAGTAATATGTATGTTAGTTAGCAGGAAAAGTTTTATCCATACTTGGTGTTTTTGAATGGAAACATAATATTCCTAGGATCATATATCTGTTATTAGGCCATAACTTGTGGACACTAGCTGGGGTGTTTTGACTGATATGATTGTGAAGTTTTATGCTATTCGATATTATGTTAAATAGTTACGGTGTGCTTTCAGAATCCTGGTTAAAGGTTTTGTACTTGATTGAAGACATCATGCTAGTTTTCAAGTTTTCTTGTATGGCTACTTGGTAATTGACAAGTGAATTTTTGCTCGAGGCCACTTTTAGGACTTTAATTAGTGAAATTTACATGTTGTACTACTGGTGTACTGATTTTAGTGGTAATCTTGATTTAAATTATTGGTTGTGAATCTTGTGCTTCAAGTGAAGTACTCTTGGTTGATGAATTATTCCTTCTTATTGGTATGGCTCCAACAAATTTCTTTGCATCAATTTCTAGATATGGCTTCAACAAATTTCTTTTCATCAATTTCTAGATATACAGGAGAGAAGAACTTTTGTATGCTGTTTTTCTGGCTAGAATCTGAGACCCTTTTGGCATGTGCTGCTTCCTTGTTCCTATGCTATAGTTTCAGGTGTTGATGGATCATTCAAGTGTTGTTTGCAAAATCTATGTAAGTCAGTTTGCAAGGTAGTTTTCTTTGTGTAACGCAAGTGGTGCAATCATGCAATTCCCTTATGTTTCTAATTCCCTTGTTTTTCTTGGCAGATCTAACCTGCTACATTTGGCCATGCCTAGCAATTATGAGTTGCATAGCTGGTTCACTTACTCCATGCTTTCTTTATTTCTATGTATAGCTGGATTTTGGGTATTAGTTATTGCAGAATTAAGTTTAGATTGCTTTGTTTACAAATTGTTGGAATTGCATGCTATGGTGCTAACTTTATTGAATGAAAGGTTATCCTTTTTCGATGCAATTCTTATTTTTCCTATGTTTCAGATTGCTTGGATATTCATTTCCATTTGTACAGGATTTGTGTAGTTTTAAGAATTCCAGGATTTGTATATATTCACATTCAGCCTCTAGATGTACATTTGGAATTTATCAATCAATTAAGTATTATTTCTTAACAATTTTGTGTATTGTATTTTGATACATATATAGTTGTTGAGCATAAAAGCATTTATTATTATTATTATTTTATAAATTAAATATCTTTTCCGACGAAACAAATTTTGTTGGGAGAGAGAAGATTGTGCCAATGAAATATTCACGACGACAAAACACATTTTGTTGGTTGAATAATACTATTTGTCGGCTTAAAAGCCCAGTATCGACGAGAATACTTGTCAGGAACAATGAAAATACCGACAAAAAAGAGTTTGTCAGGAAAAATTGAACCTTACCAAGGAAGTATCAAAATTCGTCGAGAAAACTCTTACACGACAAAATGGCCGACAATTATTTTCGTCGGGAAAGGATCTTTGCCGAAAAATTTTGATTTTTGCCGACAAACAAATGTTTTCAGCAAAGTCAGTTTCTAGTAGTGAAATGTAGGGTTTCACTCAAGCAGGCATAATATTTCCCATCAAGTTAGTAATATCTTAGTTTCCTTTTATAGAAGACTTCCTGTTCTCTTCCATCTTTTATGTTGGTTAAAGTTAGTTTGTACCAAATCAAATATTTGTAGCCAAATGAGACTTGGCTGCTATAATCTAATTTACTCTACAACTGCGTATAAGCTAGGATATTATAACTAGGAAATAATTGAATTGCATACTTTTGACATTATATAGAATATTCATCAAAAAATATATACACTCACTTGAATTTAATTAGAAAACATATGGAATGAGAGCCTTGAGATTATTGGGAAAATGATATTTAAACTTGGAACGATACCAATTCCTGGTAGCATAGCTCCTTCCGGCCAAGTAGAGGGCGGTTCCAGCGGTAAAGGAAAAGGAGTAGAGAGTCTGAGAAATGAAAGATATCCCAAGAAATGTTGTGATTTCAAAGAGATAGTGAGGGCATATAACAAGCTCAAACAAACCACCCTTGGGAAGCTTGTATTCCTTCTCTTCACCTGGCTTCACCCTCATCTCCGAAAGAAGGTAGTGATGCTACAAGTTGCCAGAAATTCCTATTACAAACACGACAATGCCGGCGCTCTTTAAATCAATTGCTGGCTCTGGAAACCCTAGCCGTTGGCTGCTTAGGTATTGACCATAAATCATGCTTCCGGTCGACGACAACTAACTCAGACAGATCGGAACTGCTGTATCAACGCCCATTCCTCCACTGTACTTGTGAACAAATTGAACCTATATACATACATGCATATATATACATATATTAATACAGGTACGTAGAAAACAAGATACAAACATAATATACACAAGCAGGGCCAGCCCAGGTCCAGTGCAGGCAGGGCGACTGTCCAGGGTCCAAACAAATTAGGGGCACCAAAATTATTAGGGTGATATATTTATATATGTTTTTATGAGAGTATAAATTTATAAAATTTGGTTCAAAGATACAGAAATTTAACTAGAAGTGGTGGTTTGTCATTTGAAAATAATGAGGAGGTCTTGGGTTCAAAACACCAAGTGTGCTTATTTACTTTCTATTTTTTACAAATTTCTTTTTATAAGATTATAAATTTATAAAATTTGGTTAAAGGATCAAGAAGTTTAATTAGAAACAATGATTTTTGTTGTTTAAAATTAACAAGAGGTCCTAAGTTCGAAATGCTATGTGCATGTTTATTCTTTTCAATTTTTACAAATTTTTGTTTGGTTGTTAATTTATTTTTAGTTACTATCTAGTAGCTATGTGGATTGTTATTTTTAAATATTCGTTTTAATTCAAGTCTAATCTTCAACAAAGAATAATACGTAGACCAAATTTGCAAATTATATGACGTGTCATCAAAATGTTTATTTTAGTGCCCATTCATTAATAATACATATATATATCAATTAAAGACTCGAAAACATCATTATTTTTTAGTCCCATATTGACAAGGTTAGTAAATAAGAAAAAAACATCTCAAGATTTATTCAAAAACATATACAAAGTTCAGATGGAAAACAAAACTCATCATCTATCTACTTGTAAGCCCGTAATTTTTTTTGTTTCCCTCTCTCAATACAAAATAAATTAGTCTTTCTGTGTTTCTAAATTATTAAGTTTGAAGTGTTTTTCTAAATATAATTTTTTCGATGTCTTATGTGTGAAAATAAATAATTTTCTTACATGAAGTTAGGGTATTTTTTTTTACGTTACCCCGGGCCTCAAAAATCTCTGGACCGGCCCTGTACACAAGCATTACGTACGTACGTACCTCAAGAATCCTTTTGAGAAAATGAAGGGTTAGAGCGTAAGAGAGCAATATAGATCTGATATCTTGATGGGGAAAAAACAGCAAGGATGTGAGAGCAGCGACGAAGGCAGGAGTATAAGCGACGAGCATGCCTGTTCTACCGGACAATGTTACTACTTGTTGTTGCTTTTCTGAATTTAGTGCAGATTTTTGAGGATTATTGAAATTCCTGAACTTAGAATACTGCATGTGCTTTCCTCTAATCTCTGAAATCCCAGCATTTGCTAATGACGTGAAGCTAATCACTGACATTGCTGTCATGAATATAGAAGGAGGTGGTTGGAAAATCAGCGTCGAGATTATCGACATACTACTCACCACCATCATTAATCCTAATAAAACTCCCTTAAAAGAACAATTAATGGTGGATTAGAGGACAATTTCTAGCTATTTAATCAGTCTTAATTTGTTCTAAACCACGTACTCTGTGTGTATATATACCTAGTGGGCGGCTAAATGGTTTTTTACTTTGTTTCTGGGGTGTGTTTTTGTGTAGAATGGCTGGCTGGGTTGGCTACATGTTAAGTGAACAGGAACCACAATCAAAACCAGTAAATGAAATTTCAGGCCACTAGTTATCCGGCCATGCATTAAATCCGGCTCCTTTGGAAGTTTGGTTGGCTACTAGATAACCCATGAACATGTGTTGTTTTGGTGGACCACGTTGCACAGTGCCTGCCACCCTCAGCAGACCTTTGTTTCACTCTCCTTATCTTTTTGCCCCAAAAAAACAGAGAAAAATGCTCGGCGGACACCGAAATCAAGCTATGATGGTTGACACTTGAAATGTAACGTAGCCATAACATGCATGACTATGTAGTCGTACCTACAATTAAACAGAATCTACCGAAAAAATGGCAAGAGTTTCCTTAGAAATTCAAGCAATCCAAAAATTCACAATCGTGCAAAAAAAAAATTTCAACACAACATCCCCGCGTCGCTACACCTAATGAGTCCCCGACTCTCAACTACACGCATGAAATTCATGTTCAGAGCATAAGTTTAACTAACACAACGAAAGCATAAAATGTATCAATACTGGTTACCCTATCCATTAGGATAAATACTTAAACAGAAAGATTAAAAAAAATAAAATAAAAAAATACAATTCTTCTCCCTACACTTCGGAAGGTCATTCTGAGGTTTCGTCGACGTCGACGGGATCTCTGCTATTAGGTCCGGAAGGAGGCGTAAAATAAAAATGCGTACGCAAAAAAACAAGTGTTAAAAAAATCATCTCTCTTTATGAACATACTAATTTCTTATTGAAAACCCATATAGCGTAAAAATGCATATAAATAAAGTAAAATTCACAGTTAGGGCAAATGAAGTGGATAGCACTACTTAGTACTTCTGCTTCTGCTCGTACTCTTTTGCTCTGAACCTCTTGCATGCGTGTGTAATAAAGGTTGCAACTCTCTTGCGGCGGCGGTTGCAGCGGTGTTTCTAGTTTTCTGTTTTCTTTGGTTCCAACTTTTGGTTGGGCTTGTTTTGGTGTGTTTGGTTGGCCCCGTTTTGCTTTGTGTATCTGTTTTGGGCCTTGGTTGTAAGTTTGTGTTGTTGAAATAAATGCTTCACCATGTTTTGGCATGGTGTTTTTCAAAAAAAAAAAAAAAAGGTTGCAACCCTCTGACGACTTTTTGTTTAATTCCAGTTGATTTTCGAACTTTTATTTATCATCGTGCATGTTAAAACTGCGTAAAAATTCATCCTTAAAACATTTTGTGGTTGATTCACATGACTTCATGCTTATGATCTAAACTATTTAGAATATAGATTATTTTGTAAAAAAATTAACACATGATCTCTAGATAGTGATTTATAATATAAACAGATCCTATCACATACATGAAAAATTCCTTAATTCGTGATATTTATTAAAAAAATTTAACACATGATCTCTAGATAGTGATATATAATATGAACAGATCCAATCACATACATAAAATTCTGTAAATCGACCACGACTTATATTTAAGAGGAACTCGTCCACAATTTTGTATAACCATGTGTTGATCGAAAACATTTACGAACCATTTCGGCGACTTAATTTTACAATGTAGTGATATTTTTCTTCATTAATTAATAAGAGATCTTAAATTTGAATATCGTATTTACGAGTTTGATACAAATTTTTCCATCACCCTTGTGTGTAAATACATCGTTGCATTATAGAAAAAAAGACTTTTCAACCCATAAGAGTTGCTATATCACCCTCATGTCTCATTTCCCCATCCACTTTCGTACCAATTTCAATCACATCCAGTCAAGAATTGGCAAAAACAAACTGGTTGGGGCAAATGTACCTGCAGCTAATTAATTTCACACTCCAAAACAACAGACAAAACAAATAGAGAACATCCACAGGAAGCTGAAGATCCAACATTATACAGAGCTTCCATCATGCATGCATGCAAAAAGATCAACATACTAGAGCTGGACAATCAAACTGCATTTTTAACCTGCAAACCTATACCCTCTATACATTGCTCGCCCCAAAATCTTATATACGGAATTACAAGGATTAAAACGAGACGCGTCCTACGTCACACCTCAAAGACGAGTGCCTTCAACAATTCAGAAACATCGAGGATACACATCGTTTAGGCTAAATAATTTTATGCCCCGTAAGATCAATAACTACTGCCAAATGAAAGAAAAGCTTCCTTTGTTCTTCTCGGACTCTTCACAAGACTCTGCATATGTATATGAGGTCGAATCTGTGAAAGGAGCTGACAAAGTCATCGC